TGATCTGAAAAGTTACATCACTAAAATGAAAGGAGGAAGCACTTACCAGAAAAAACAAGGGGGAACGGGAGAAAAAAAGAAAACCAGACAGACGGATCCATGCTTCATCTGCAAAGAGTTAGGGCATTGGGCCCCAGATTGTCCCCAAAAAAAACAGGATTCGTGCTACAAGTGCGGGAAATCTGGTCATTGGGCTAATCAGTGTACAGAGGATGAGGAGGATCAACAATTGGTTAAAGAAATACAAAAACTGGAGAAAAAGCCTCAGGAACCCAAGAGGAAACTACCCCTGATGACCGATAAGGCCCAGAAGAAGAAAAAGTAAATGGTTGTATTTTTTTTTTACTTGAATAAAATTGCTGTGTTCTTGTTTCTATTGTGTGTTATTGTTTTTTTTTTTCCATTTTCGGAAAATCACTGTGAATGAGTGACGTCATAATCAAATTCTTTTGACTCGCTGCCAAAATCGTAGTAGCAGCGTATAGTGTATAATGTAAACACAGTGTAAACACCCCGTATAGGACATATAGGGGCTATGTACTAACCCACCTAGCCCCCTAGGGTTAGGGTTAGGGTTGTACTGAGTTGACCCAGCTATCCCCCACAGACCCCCTAATCTGCACTCTCTTCACCCACCTATCCCCCCAGGGGCTGCACTCCCTTGACCCGCCTATCCCTCACAGGGGCTGCACTCCCTTGACCCGCCTATCCCCCTCAGCCCCAAAAGTGCACTCACTTGAACCGCCTATCCACCCCAACCCCAAAAGTGCACTCAGTTGACCCGCCCATCCAGACCGTTTATACTACTAACGGGGCACCCCCTCGCAAAAAGAACATCGATCCCGATATTAAAAAAAATCATACGAGTCAGCATTCACTCACCAACACACACGCACGTAACTTTATTCCCTATAACTGTTACGATAGGATGAAAAACACCATGTATTTTCTGTATCATTGAAAAATTCAATTAGAAAATAGATTCAGATATGCCAAGATATGTAAACTTGATTTAAAAAACGTTTATTCCGTTTAAAAAAAATTATGAATTAAAAAAATATACTATACGTTCGTTACTTCCATGCAAGCTGATTTTAAAACTTTTACTTTTTTGAATATTTTATTTAAAATTTTTTAAAAAAGCTCTAAGCTTTAAGGTTCCATTGTTTAAACAATTCATTTTTTCGCCTATCTTAATCATGGAGTAGAAACATAGTAAATAGGCAAATACTAGTAAAGGATTGTCTTATAAATGGTTTATATACCGTACCTTAAGTTGAAACTTTCTTTGAATTTATACCTCAAATTGAAACCGTCTTTTAACTTCTTACTTTTTTAAAAGTATACCACAATTAAAATCGGTTACAAATATTTCTGCACCTTAACATTTTTTTTTAATTTTGTGGCACCTGTAACCTGTTTAACTTGTACACAATATTTGTATATTTTTTCCAAGGGCCGCTACTATGATCTGAAAAAAAAATTATACATATTGTGTGATATAATCAAAAGGGATGGTGAATTGTGCTGTTCTTGTCTCTTTCTTATATATGTACACTAAATGCCGTGCTTGACTTTTCTTAGCTGCAGAAAAGACAAATATGTAGACTTTTCTGTGCGAAATTACAGTTCCATCAAAATTTTGACGAAATCAATTTGAAACTGAAACTAAATAAATACTAGTATATTTTTACGCAAGAACGACAGGCCCGTAGGAAGCCATATTAGGTGCGTATATGCAGGGGCAGCTATATTTTTTTCAGTTGTTGGCACTTTCAACCACCAAATATTCCTTGACAAGCAAAACAAAATCTTTCACGCGTCCATGAAAGGTCATCTATTCATTTTCCTCTGTACCAATGGCTAAATAACTTGACACCTTATAGGTTTTTCACATTTCGATGCGATTGTCTTATCCACTAATGAAATATTACGTCCAGCACACGTTCATGCTTTTTGTATGAGGCGATGCTTTTAGTTAAGTAATTATATACCGCTGTAATTTAACTCTCTTTCGCTTAAAAATTTATGCAAACCATTGTTTTCCTAGTTATTACTTCAAAAAATACCAAACATATAAAAAAACCCACACATTTGACTCGTATCTTCTCCTGTCCCCACACACTCATTTGAAAAAAAAAGGGGGGGGGTCAGCCAGAAAAAAAAATTATCTTTAAAAAAACTACTCAACCAAAAAAGGGGGAGGGGTTGTCGAAACTCGAATCCAATTTCGCCGTTGGGGAGGGGGGTTTAGGTTCAATCTTCTTTCAGTTTCAAATTTTTTAATCAAACATAACACACTGCCTTATTCTTTTGTAGTGCACGAATTTGACTATTCCGCAACAAAAAGTGTGTATGTGTGTGTGTGGAGGGGGGGGGGGGCGGACTTTCGATGTAGCTCCCCCCGTTGCTACTTGCATGGACTGTAATGGCCAATATTTTCTTTAAAAGTAGAAATATTTGTGTTTGTTTATTAATTCCTTTACGTAGAGTCATGTTACATGTAGGATTATGATATGTAGTAAAGTCTTATCTCGATTTTAACGAAACTTAAAGAAATTAATGTCGATAGAGATATGCGGGGTATTTTGATACATGTATCAGATTTGAAGATTTCAACGCAGAACGTGACTTATTTATTTCAAATCATGAATTCAATAGTCAGTGAAATATATTTCACGCACATTTTCATAACTTTTTGAAATTACACTCATAACCACTTGTCACTTATGCTTCTTGCCCTGTCTATAGTAATGTATTCTTAATACATATATATACCCATATATTTGCCATTAGCCAGAAATTCGTACGTCTTTTCGCTTACTGTAATCTATATAGTTTTTTTTTCTTTTGGTTTATAAATATTTCCATTCATAATATCACTGTCGATGCAATATTGTTAATTCCACCAACATTGGTATAATGCTTTTGGGAAAAGTCTACAATAGCTGTATTTAATTTCTTAACATATTGCAAAAGAGGTTCGAGTGGGATTTCATTCAATCATTTTATCGGAATAATTTTAAAAATTTGAAAACAATAGTAATTTTTATCATACAATTCCTTTGAATGTATTTATTTGATCATTTTAAATTTGTTTTTGAAACAATTGTTTTTTTAGCAAAATTTTCGTGGCATCCCCATCCTCCGTATTTTTTTCTCCCTTTTTTCCCTTAGCATTTTCTCTTACTGTTAATTTATAAAACAAAATACTGTTGATGTAGAAGGTTTCCCAGTATTTTTATTCAATTAAAGAGGGATTATGTTTTTACCTTGAACTTTAACCGGTCTTTTAATTCGGAGATTTTTTGGCTTGTCAACTTACCCCCCCCCCTTTTTTTTTTTACACACTTTAAAATCGACAGTTCACCGAAGGCTGGCTATTGGGGTACATCAATAAGATTAACTATGGATTAAAATTAAAATGGCTAAATAGATTTTAAATTATGATATATAAGTACAGCTTATAAGAACGGTAATTACTATATGTGCAAAAATCTCTCACTCGCTCTCTCTCTCTCTCTCTCTCTCTCTCTCTCTCTCTCTCTCTCTCTCTCTCTCTCTCTCTGAAAAAAAATGTACATGTATATAGAATTTATATTTTAATATTAAGACTTCTTATCATTAATTCAAATTTCAGCATTTGCAAATTGCTCAGAAAACAAATATGCAGCAGCTTTAATTTAGTTATGCATAGACATCGTTTCAATCGCTGTTTCCTGTGTTCCACGGCAATGTGCATGTCCAATGTTCCGTATATCAACAAGTTAAATACTTTAACAAAATTATGAATAAATTTACGTACTGAATAGTAAATTATATAAATACCTATTAAAAATGTCCGCATCAAATTTCAAATTTTTGATACACTTTGAAATTCAATTTTATTTCTTGTTCACAAAATGCAGTCAACAAAATTACTTCCGTGTTTACAATACCGCGACTTTGACGTCGTTTTCTGAGCATTGTGACGTCAAAAGATAAGGGCCCTTTTCTCATGACGGCAGTCATATATATATATATATATATATATATATATATATATATATATATATATATATATATATATATATATATATATATATATATATATATATATATATATATAACGGTTATACATATATAGATTATGTTGTTTTATTCATTTGCAACTCATTTATTCATATCGAGAGACCACTTATTATTTTTTTTTCAAGTACTAACCTTGTTCGGTCAATAAGCTTAAGTAGGTGTTGTGCTCTCCATGAAAATGAGGTACTGGTGTTTTTTGTTCAATAACAGTTTTCAGTTTTGGTGGCTTTGGTAATACTCGCAGTGCTGTTGAATAAATGTGTAAGCTTACAAGGAAATTCAGGAGAAATCATAAGGGATCATCTACACCTCATGAAATTAGAATAGTTAAACAAATTGATTACCGTTTCAAGCATAATCTTTAAATTGAAAAAAAATATATTTGTAAAAAATATTCTTCCTGGTTGAGGAGCATTTGTTCCAAATCAAGTTTTTTGTCACGTTTTCTATTTGATTTTTTAAGTTGAAAATAGCAAAGGAATGTTAATTGCTTCACAGATAACAATTATACGACACATTCATAGATTTCCTATTTTTAAATGAAGTACTAAGTGACTAAGTCCGGTATTTTTACAAAATGAATAAATTATTTCCTTTTTGATACAAAAAAATTACGGTTTTTTTGGATTTGCCAGAGCATTTGAGACTATGATAAATGCATTTTTTCAAACCTATGACGTGCAAAAAAGTAATAAAAATAATATGCATTATTTTAATTTTGATAGCCTTATAATTCTTTAAAGTATATGAAGTCAACCAGTGTGGAGTATCGTTTATAAATAAATATATAAAAAATGATAATAATATTATATGAATAAATAAGTAAATGAATAAATGAATAAATAAATAAACTGTTCGTTATCTCCAAATCCTCCATGAATAAACAATATTAAGATTTTTACAAACCTACCATGTCTTTTGCTGTTAACGGGATTTAACGGTTTTTGGGGAAGAAAACTATACAGGTGTGATCCTCGTAACATATGTGCCGTATTTATCATGCAATCTATATAAAATAAACAAACGAAATAGTCAATAAAACATTCTTAAAAACTGGCATTTCGATAAATACTAGTAATTTTGGATGAATTGAAGTATACTTATTGTAAGTCCATTATTTGCACTCTGAATTGACAATGGATTTTTTGTTATTTCTCGATCACGACAAGAAATACTGGGCGGGAGTGATCGGTCGGCGGGGGACGCTCATTCCTCCATGTTACCTGATCCATGTTTGACCTGCTTCTATCTCGGAATGATTAATTAACTTTTTACCGTGAACACTGTTCGTTATCTCATATATTTCATTGCCAGTACACGTACTTTACACACATCAAATATACCTTTAAATCATTGGAAATTAATTAAAAAAGGAAATGGTGCTAATTTCAATTTATTTTTTGTTTACAAAATATATTTTAAGTCAAACATGGGATTTGCTAGCATATACATATATAACAATGTGGTAGGACCATTTAATATCTGCATCTAATGATGGAAATATTTCACATATGCAAATCTTGCTATTCTTAATACTCATCTATTGTTGAACGGAAATCGAATGTCGAAAAAATATCATATCTGTCAAAATGTAATAATGAAAGTAAAAGTTTATATTGTTCCGTTTTCTATTTTTTTTTTTTTTAGATTCTTCCTGAAAAGTCTAATCACAATTACTTACCAAGTGGACGATACGCAGGGGGAATAAGGAAGCATACAAAATATTTTACCTTGACTAAATGAGTGCTACATTATGACGTCATAGTAGGCGGGATGACGTCAAATTTAGAACACAATTTTTCGTAATATTGGTATTTAGAGAGGCAATTTAACTTTCAAAAATGATTAGAAACATGTAAACGTTAGCAAAAATAAAACGTTCTTACTTTGTTATGCTGTATTCTGTCATTTTGATTAAAATCCACCACTGATGACGTAATATGTGTACATCAAGTAACTTTAGAATTGATCATGTCGTGTAAAGAGAATTTGGCTCAGATGGCATGTATAAAGATACGTAAAATGGAGTTTAAAAGCAAATATCGGGAATATTTTGTGAAATTCATATGGAGTTCAGTTAATAAAACAGGCATGCTAATTTATTTCCATCGATTATATTCTCTTAAGAAGACAGTCAGCTATATACGTATCCTGGTCGGCCTTTCCTCTGTCATTTGTGACATAAAGAATGCAATAGAACAACAATAAGCTGGATATTTCAAAACATAAGATTTGTACAGATGAAAAGTTTGCCTCCTCAAATACCTGGAAACTGCTGCTTGAATCCCAAGTTAACCATGGTTTTACGAAAAATCTCGGTTCATATTTTAAAAATTCAAAACATCGGGTAAGGTTTCGTGCGAAAGTATGGACTAATTATTTTACTGACGGGACAGTAGGATTCTAGCAGCACGTTTTAGGCACAATAGATATTTTTCAACTACATTATTTACTCAAAGAAATTATTAAACTCCGGGGTATTGTTGTTCTGTTATCTTTTTTAATTAAGGAAAATTTTGCTATTAATAGAAGTGGTGATGCCGTGGTGGTGGTTCACGTCGTTGCCTTAGACACTCTTTTATCTTTATGCAATAGATGATAATAGTTTACCTTTATCAGCGGTTTTGGTAAATTATCAAACTTAACTTTCTTTAAAAAGTTTAAATTTCCCGAAAAATGCCTTATATGCTTCCTTGACATACCCGTGTAGTCTTCAATTTCTTTTTCATCTTCCCTTTCTTCTTCATCTACAAATTGTTTATACATAACAGCCATTGAGTATATTATATAAAGTATATTTTTCCTGATCAAAAACATGGGCACCAAAACGTTTTGGCTTAATACGTTTAGAGAAAAAATGATCAAATTAGAAAAAATTGAATTGAACATGTAAAAGAATTCGGTGACATAAAATTCAATACATCATTTTTTAAAATTAATTGATTGCATTTTCCTCTAAAATCATTCATCTTCGCAATTTAGTTTTCCACTTCAAAACGGTTTTTATGTCTAATGTCCACATTGAAAGCACATAAGTTTGTAATAAAGATGATTAAAATTAAAATTTATAGAGAGACAAAGCAACATGATGTAGATTATATATTATTATATATTATTTTTTTTTATGTCGTTGGTTGTAAAACAATCATTTTATATTCATATGAAGGAGAATTTATGCAAAATCTTATTTTCGTATTTGAAATTATCATCACGAATGTCCTTTTAAATAAAGCAATACTAAGTATTAAAGAAATTTAGGTGTCAAACCTTTTAAAGTACAAGAAATCGTTGTATCAAACAATATTGAATATGAGTAAAAAAAAAAAGGGGAGATGATGTTGAACACTGATCCACCTCAAAATACTTGCTAACTAATATATACAACTTAAAAAATGCCGACTTCCATTGAAAGAATAGAATTTAAAAAAAACAAAAACAAAGGAGGGATTACCTTGATTTTGATCCTTGTTCATCCATTCAATGTCTGGTTTCGCAGGGGTGAGATACCCGATTGACAACTTCTCAAGATCTGTTGGGTTGAAGCGAATAATATCTTTGGATTCAACATTTGGCAATTCTACGTTTTCCAAGTCTATGCTTTGATATCTATCATGAATGTTTTGCCAGTACATCAAAAAGCATCTGTCATTTCCAAACGCAAGAAGGGTGTGAATGAGTTCCAGAATGCTCTCAACTGATTTTGAATTAGTGTCTATTTTGGTGAGAGATTCAGCAATTTCAATGGTTAAACTTTCGGAATGCAACTTCAATTTTTCTTCAGATTCTGTTTTTTGAGTATCTATTCGTTCCTTTATTTCTTTATGAGTACTTTGTATTCTTTTAATTGCCTTTGTTTCGCTGGTTTTCAGAAAGAATTCAAAAGTTGTTACATCTTCCCTCCTTCTTTCTAAATCACTTTTTATCCTGCGCAGCATATTTCTCATCATTTGAGCTTCACTTTTTATGTCTTCCAATGAAATACAATTGTGATCATGGTGTTTTTTTTTACAAACCTGACATAAAACAGCTTTGCAATCAAGACATAGCTCAGAAAGATTGTGATCTGTATGCTGATCACATAGTAAGTTTTCGTCTTCCATTTCTGGTGACTGAATCATAATCGGCCTCTGGTAATCTTCAACATCAACAATTTTATGATGAGCATTAAAAAATTGGTGAGCTTCTAAACAAACCTCACACAGATCAATTCCACATGGAGGACAAGAAAACGTTGCCTTCACCTTTGATTTCCTTTTCAAACACAGTCCTTGACAATTCCTTTCAATTTCAGTGTTGGTCTTAAGATTAGGTTCTTTTGAAAATTTTTCCAGCAATTCATTAACAAAATGGCACGGTGGAAGATCTTCGGCTCCAGAAAAATCCAGAACAAAAGGGCGTCGACAAATCGGACAAAACGCCTGGTTCCCCTCTTGTGAGTTTTCATGATGACTTTGAATGCACGTGGAGCAGAAAAAATGATGACATTGTAAAATCTTAGGATTTGATAACGTCTCAAGGCATATGTTACACTTTAGAAGGTCTTGCAAAAGCTTCATTTTCATTTTATGGCCTGATTTTTCCAATTGATCCATATCTGTCAAATAAAAGTAATAATGATCTGAAATGGTAAATTTTACAGTAAATGTAAGCAATTATTCGAAACTATTTAAATTACCTTTATGCGATAAATTATTTTGAGAAATGTCTAGTGAAAAAAAAATTATTTCAATATGCTTAAATTTTACTCAATTAAGTTCAAGAAACTAGACAATATTTGAGTAATTTATGGTACAAAAAGCCATTTAAACAACAGAAATCAGACACAGAGCTACCACAAACCTCAAAATCTAGAAATGCAATCTGCAGGTGCTGTGGAGGAGTCTGCATTTGCTTTTGACTAGTCACTCCGGCTGTGACTTTGCTTTCAGTGTATAACGTAGTCGTGAGTTGAAGTTTCCTGATAACATTCTATCCGAGAACTATTTAAAATATAAAATTCCCTCATTATAAGTGTATTACTTTCAAACCAGATACTTACAAGAAGGATGTCATTCGAATTTTTATAAGTATATGTTGGTATACAATGCATAAATATTAAAGCCGGAAGGAGAGTAATATATGTAACATCGTTTTTGTGCAAAGATTCGGCTGTTCCTGAATATAGGAAAAATGGGATTTTCATTTTTTCACTTCCATTTACTCTTGTTGCATTTTTGTAAGTATTAAAAGTTAATAATAATTGACACATACTCAGTTTTATAGTCACATGTTAACCATTACCTCAAAATTTCGAAATAGAAATATATTGAACAAACATATGTATTGCTCCTTTGTTTGTATTTACTGTGTGTGCATGTATTTTTTTGTTTTTTTTTTGTTTTGTTTTTTTGTTTTTTGTTTTTTGTCTTGAAAACTATGAAAGATGGAACTTGTATCCTATTCAATTTTTAATAAAACTTAAATACAAAGTTAAATATCATTCTTTCAAAAGTTTACAAGGAATTAATGTTTCCATTTACATGAAATACTTAACACAAACAGAACATAGATGCATGAATTGGTATACATTTTTGACTGATTTTGATCGTAAATGACATAAATAATAAATCTCTGAAATATAAAGAAATCGTAGTTTTTTCTTTTTGCTTAAATATTTGACTTTGTTATGTTTCTTATATAATTCCATACAAAATTTTGGTCAATTTTTTAACCTTATGACAAAATCTTTTAAGAAATTTCCAACTATACCTGTAAACATTATTGAGGATATCCAACCCTCTGCCAGGAAGGATAACTCCAAAAATTAATATTTAATTTGAAATGAACCAAAATGAATCTTGAAATTGAATTTTTTTCATGCAGCAATTTTTATTTTATGCATCTTTATAAGATTCAATGTTTTTGAAAGTCTTCGAAAAGGTCTTTTAAAAGTTGACATTTGTATCCTATAAAGGAAAAAAAAAGTTTTAGAGAAATTTCTTGACTCTAGCTTTAGATACCAATGCTTATTAAATTAGAATGATATAAAATAAGAAGTGATTTGTGGTGTCTTGCAATGATAGCAAAAGCCTTTTACACTATGTATTACAGAATCCATTACGGAAAAAGAAGATAAAAATTATGAAATATGTATAAAAATCATTTTTTTGAATGCATGTATACCTATCGTTTTTAACCTAAAATATATTTGTTGATCAATTTGCAAGTAGAAAGTGGATTTTTGATATTCCAATTCGCTTTATCTGCAAAACTATTGGAGATTTGACAATTTTCCCTTGTAATATGATTAACTTTAATCTTTAACTTCAAAGAAATACCGTAGATAGATTGACAAATTTTTAAGGATTCAGAAATTTTTGATAACTTAACTGCCAATTTTATAACCCTGAGGATCGGACCACCTTAATGTACCTTTTCAAATGTCAATCTATGAGAAATATTGCTGATGTTTGAAGAAAAAAAAGTCTGTTTGTGTTATTTATCCTTAATTATTAAATTGGTCATTGAAATGTAATTAATTTTCATCTAAAGCAAAATTACCTTATTTTAAATGTTTTCAAGAGGGAAAATTTCCTTTTGATATGGAAAAAGAATACTCATTACTATTTCATCGGATTTACATATGATGCCTCTTTCATTAGATTCTCATTTGTACATACCTTGAAACACGCTTAACTTAAAAAAGCCGTGCATTTGCCATGCACTGATTAGTCAGTACAACTCAGTGGTTTATTGTGAAAGGGTGTATTTAATTGACTTTTTTTCAGATTCACGGTGCAATTGTTTCCCCTTTTCTCTTCTGATGCTAAGTAGACAAGGTGAAATTTTCAACATAACCTTCAGGAATTTTCATGAGTGGAATATATCACAGACAGACATGCATTTATTTGATGAGAATGCTTCGTTTTTGGCGTTTGACAACAACGCTCTTATTTATGTTGCTAATGGTGTTGTTAAGAAAAAGGAATGGAATTTACCAGAAAACTCGTCATCTATACTTGAAATGGGCGATGTAAAGTCAGTGAGTACAACATCCAAATAAGACGATACAGTTTTAAAGATAAAAATTAAATTTAGATTTTTACTATCAAAAGTGAAAAAAAGGAACATTGTGATCAATCCCCATTCACGTATTTTTTTCTAACACATGAAGATTTTAATTTTTTGTTCCAATAGAGTGTTTTCTATTGAGGTAATTTTAGAAAGAGGTATTCCCATGTCCGCCATATTGTACATCAACATTTCTAGATCCGTTCATTATTCAATTATTATTCAATTAAGTTCAATTTGTTATACTGGTTACGGAGCTAAAGATATCCCTTCTTATAAATATACTTTTGTTAAAGTATCCATCAATTCAAAATTTTAAGATTGTAAGTATTTCCTCCATTATATCTTTATATGCATGTTTAGCATAAGTTGCTTAAGGAGGAAAATTCAATACTTTGCCCTAAAAGATGGCGGCAAAGGAGAATAACTCCGAGACAAAATACCTAATAGAAAAAGGGTCGATTTGTTCAGTATTTTAGTTAATGTAAATTTAATCTTTTGTAATATTGTGACAATTTTTCAGGTAGCCATAGATAAACGTAATCAAAACATATATTTCTATCAGCCATTTTTCCAAATCATTGGAATGATTTCTTATACGAAACATCATGACGACTTTCCTTTCCGCACCATACTTCATGATGTGATCGGATTAGTTGATATTACAGTTGATTCTTATGAAGGGTAAATACGACAATTTAAAGATACTTAATGACATTATGTACCCATATGATTACATATATGTTACATATATGTTATTAAATTAATTGTAATAGATAACAGTGTCAAATGTTATTTTCTTTTCCTTTTTGTTTTATTTTGATTTGTTTAGTTTTTTTCTTTTTTTTTTTGGGGGGGGGGGGAGGAAGACATTAGTTACTTATAACTAAAAAGTGACGTTTTCACTTATTCATTTTTATTATAATTACTATTATGTATTTTTCTGATAAAATTAAAATCAAAATTAATATATATACTTTCTTTAAAGTGATATTGTTAGTAAGCTGATTTATAAATGTTGCGAAATAGAATATGTATCAAGAGAGAATTAAAGTCCAACTTTTTGGTCAAAATAATGAAAATTTATTTCAGAAAGCATCCGAATATTAATTATATCTTCGGACATACAATAATTGAAAAAAATTTAATTTGTCTCTCCTTCAAATTCCTGCAAAATCATAATATATAAAGCTTTCAATTTTTCTTGATCATTTCGTGCTCAGTCATCTGTAGTGTTAAATTTGTTTGGAATAAGTCCCAATATAGATTCCATAATAAAACATTTACATTACAGTTTCCTTTTTTGGATAACAAATAGGAAGAGTCCGCAAATACATTCTTTCAATTTGCTTGGTGGGGAACCTAGCGACATAGTATATAAAGGAATGCTCCATCCCATAAAAATTTCGGTTGACATGGCGGCTAAAAGAATTATCTGGATAGATGACATGAAAGGGACAATAGAATCAGCCAATTATGTTGGAGAGCATCGAAAAGTACATTCCCAGTCAAATGATGCACAAAGAGGGATATTGCTATTGAAGGTTTATGCTCACTAATGTTCCATATGTTTCATTATAAAAGAAGTAAATCTTTAATCAATTGTGAGATTACTTAATTATTATTGTTTAATCAATCTATAGTAAAATGAAAGATATGAATGATATAAAATGTAAGTTATGATATGAAAGCGAAAGCTAATCTAATTCATTGCCACACTTCTTCTTTTGTTTTATCCTAACCATTAAAACGCATTCAAATTCCTATAACAAATGTCTAAGCAAAAAGTTATATTCAAAGAATATAAAGAATATTCACCTAAGAAGATAAAAACAGCCTGTTTGTACAATACCCTTTGGGAGTAAAACAAGCATGGACCTCTAAAACATAAGAAGTGGGATCATTTGTCGAAGAAGAATATCGATGTCTTTAAAATGATTCATTGATGACTTTTTTTGTAGGAAAACCTGCTTCTAGTTTTCAGCAACAGCCAAATTAGTATCGTCGCCAATAACAGCATTTATTCAAAAACAGAACTTGAATACCCAATACAAGACATTGCAGCTACGAATAAAGTAAATAAAGGTATGATCCAACATGTTGTTAAACATATTTTTTTATTGAAAGAATTGCATCTTTGTATGAAACACACGGAGATAAAGAAACAGTATTCAAGATCAAAAGTCCATAAAACAATACAAAATAGGTGCAGAATAAACACAGACCTCCAACAATGAAGATGGCAAATAACAGAAAAAACCCGTCGTCAATTCAGTATACAAATGATTTCCTAATAATTAGTATAAAAAACGTTAGACAGCATTTGACTCAATGATGAATTGTATTTGCTGAAAAGGTCATAGTATCGACCATAGAACATACGTAATGTATGGAATGTTATTCTCAATTAAAATATATGTATTGATACTAAACCCATAGACTCGAAGGAATGTTTCTTAGGAATATGTGTTCGTAGGGTGCTCTTCGTCTTCATCTCAGTTGATGTTTAAACTCTTCAATTTTCTGCTTTTTCTAAAAAACTAATCGACCAGCTTTTAAAAAGCATTTGTAAAGCATACTTAAAAGAAAAAAAATCAGTATTTCTCAATGAAGAGCCACTCTCCCTTTCAAAGGGCTACGAGGCCACGCTTGTTTCACTTTAATTTATATGATTGTAATCTCATGTGAAGAAAAAGTATTTCAAAATCAAACATAAGGTATTGGACTGAAAGTATGCCAATGATAAATGGAAAAACAAACCCAAAGATTAATTTTTAAATAGAACGGTATTTGGACAGACATTGATGTCGTTTTCACCGGTCACACAAATTGCCAGCGTAAGCTGAATTTTTAATACGTTATCGAGTTATATAAAAACTATTATAACACACGTTGTATTTATTTCATGCCGCTTCGTCTTTCTAAAATTGAAGCCTTTGTAGAAAAAACTTGCATGAAAGCATATTTGTAGTGAAAACTTATCTCGTGCTAATTTAGGCAAAACCAGAAATAGAGTTTCAAAATTGACGGAGGAATAATAAAAAGATTAACATCATACCATCTTCTTGTGTAGAGCAAGATTGCAGATTTCACATGAATGAAAAAATTGTGAAAATGACGAACAGTACTAATGACCAATCTCAAAAATTCTACAATCGTACAAACTTGTTGAAAATTCCTGAGGTACAACAGGAACATATGAGGTGTTTTATAAATAGAAAAAGGGGGATAACGATAAGTATTCAAAATCAAGACTCCATTGAAACAAGTCAAGAGCAGAGCAAACCTAACAATTGTCTTAGATCAAATCTGTTAAGATAATCTTAAATTACAGTAATATTTAAAAAAAAAAGGTTCACATTTTACAATAATGCGTAGTTTCTTAGAGGTTGTTAAAATTCCTGTAACGTCGACTTATCTGCAATAGCCTGCCTCAGTTAAAGTATATTACTCGTGAAATTTGTTAAATCAAGGATTTTTTAGAAGTATCTTTTGGATAAGTACTCATAAAGTATGACTCAAAATCGCAGAGAAGATAGGGGGTTATTGTGCATCTTATTGAGCTACGTTACAATTAAGTATGTGGAAAAAAATCCTTAAACATAATCTTTTGCATTAGATATATAATCTCAAAGTATCGTAAGGCAATACAAATTTTATTTCGGCGCCAAGGGAAGCGTAGGTTCAAACCTTTACAAGCATTTACTGTAATTAATTATAGTAAAAACGTAAATAATTTGATTTACTATGAAACTTTACTTTGAAACCTTTTTCAATATTTCAAAGCATAAAATCTTTCAAATTTGATTACAGTGATGGGAAAATTAGAAACGATATGTAATGTGCATGGTATATTTATGTTTGATGTAAAAATGGAAATGAATGAGTTTTTAAACGAAATTATAGCACCAATAGACTGCTGCTTCAACAAACATGCAAGTTGATATTTTCACATGTTGTGTTTGGTCATCAATGAAATATTTAGCTAACGTTGCACACAATTATAATTTATTGATACTATTAGATGGATGCTTGAGTTTCTCAGTAAAAGCATTAAATTAAATGTAGTCTATAGAGACCGTCGTCCAATTGCACAAAATGAAAAATCTTGATGGGCGCTTTTTATATACGAAGCAGAACAAATGCATAGGAAGAAAAAACTCTAACCTTTATCTTCAACTCGAGATTTCGTTATGACGACCGTTTTAACAATTAACAATAGTAAACAAAATTAAATAAATAACTGAATTATTATTTTACAGATTTGTGCATCTGGTATTGTGATGAAGTATGTATATCTAGTGGACAAAAAACATTCTGCAGATGTTACGACGGACATACTCTTCAGATTAATGACAGAGATTGCATTCGTGTGTAAAAACATTAATTTTTGTAAAGCATATTAAACATTTAAGATACCGTATAAGTGGAAATTTTAGCTAGGGGCAAATTTAGAGATTTCTTCTTTAAAAATTGGTACTTTAATTTTAGTGAGATGTAATTTTAGCGATTTTAAAATGCTCATTATAGAAGCGACTACAAAGAAAATGCAATTAATTTTTAGCGATATTTAATTTCAGCGATCTCATTACCCTCCCTAATAATGCCAAAATTAACTCCTCGCTAAAATTTCTGCTGCCTATACGGTAATGAAAATTTATTCATCGTCATAAATATCCAATACCCTATTATATCAACTTCTTCCATATTTTTTGTCACAAATGAGAAAAAATGGCAGCTTGGGTTGCACATGCGATTTCTAATTGCATTGGTTCGACATTATTGTTTTCCTTCAAAGTATGTGTTTAAGAATTGAACTGAATAAAAATCACGTCAATCCAAAAGTCAGTGGAGATTCATTTTGTCATAGGTTTTTCATCTTCACACGATTTTATACACGTCACTCTAAAATACTGATTATAAATAAAATATTCTATACTTGATCAAATTGCCACACACCCTCCCACATGCACACAAAGAAATATTTTTATATAATCCTGTAATTTCTTTTCATTTCAAGCTCCTTCAAAACACACATTCAGTGGTGTATTTACAGTAATAGGAGGTAATATATGTGTAGCTGACATCAGATCACTTGGAATGCCAACCAAGAATGGAATTTCGTTAATGTGTTCAAAAGGTGTGCAAAATGTCCGCGAAATAGAAATGGATGTAAACAAAAAGTATCTGTATTACATATCTGTGGAAAGAAATGTATGGAAGCTTAAACGTAATATACTAGGATCGGAATATTCTAGAGATCTTGTTTTGGTCACCAGCAATGTTTCAATGAAAGGTAAGTTTCATTATATCTTTCTTAAGAATGAAAAGAAATATTACTTGTTTCATTAGGTTTCGCAGCGAAAAGCGACACATATGGATCAGTCTACCTGGAATCTGTCTCTATGTTCGTCTGTCACACCTTTTATCTCAGGAACTGTAGGATGTATGAATGTGATATTACTTGACAAAATGGTTACCCATTTTGTTACCTATGAGCTTTATCTAATCTTACCTAACTCGTAAAAAGAAAAAAAAATAACTTTTTTGTCTCTAAAGGGCTTTCGGTTCATAAAAAGGACTCGTCATTATTCTTTGGAGAAGGAAGAAAAATTCGACGATATACTGATTCCTACACATACACCGTGATTGAAGATCCAGACTATATACAAGACATTGCCATAGACTCCCAAAAAGAGTAAGAGATAAAATGATACTAATTTTTGTAAATAAAGACTTTTTTATTATTTTATTTTTATCCATCTTTTAGATACCTGTTTTGGAATCCAGAGAACCAAAACTGCATTCGAAGGTCAAATCTCGACGGAACTAAAAAAGAAACATTGATATCATATCTTACCATTAATAAGCTAGGCATGTTTTTTCTCTCTCAAAGGTAAGTTAAGAAGCGAATTTGAAAACAAATAATGAGACCTAACTAATTGTAAAACATAATAGCTTTAATATTTTCAGTATATTTAAGATTGCCACATCCATGCAATTTGATCATTTTTTAATTGTGTAAACCTTGAACTGTCCTCTTGAAATATAGAAAATACGAATTCAGCAAGCTCATTGGTCCATAAAACAATACAAGTAGGAAGCAGCATAGATTTTGTAAAATATCACAAATGGGATCAGGTTCCATAAAGGAAAAAAGCATCTCCTATCCACCTGTCCTTTGCCCCTTGTCAAATTATGGAAAATGCAAAATCTGTAGGCTATGCAAATATGTAAATAAGGGCATAACTGTGTACTAATGTATTTATGTATGGAAGACGTGAATCAGCCTTCAACTTATTGTTAGATTGTAATGTGATAATGTTTCGTCGTCCTGCCATTTAACAAGAAGAAATAAAATATCCAAGCGCGGATTCAGAGTTTGTTTGTGAGTCACAGAGTGTCATAACAACTTCCATTGTTGATGACTGAAAAACAAATTTTGAAAGATTAATTTTCTGCTTGTCAAAGAATTCAGTACTGGATTGTTTTCGAGTTGGTGAATACCCAACCTATACAACATGTAGGATTATTTTTTCAGATGCTAGTTTTGGTTACATTTCTCTTTGGACACTGAAAGTGAGCGTAAAATAATATTACAAGGTGAAATACATAAAATATGTATACGTTCGAGGATAACTCTTTTAAAAATATTAAATAGAAAGTAATATATTCTACTTACCAGTAGCACTTGAAGAATACATTACATACAAATCCCCCCACATCATTTAAAAAAATGGATTAGTTAATATTACACAATACATATCTTCAGATATGTTTCTGGCTTATGTGGCGGCTGCCAGATAATCAATCGGCCAACAAATAAAATATTTTTTTTCTACCTGGCACCAACCGGCTTCCGTAATTTTCCAATCAACAAATCAACAAAAGATCTTTCGATGCGAAGAAAATTTTTAATTCTATAAGTAGCCTAAACCTGCACTTACCTTTTTAACCCGGAAATCCTTTGAAGTTAAAACAGGTGATAGCACCGCTTTTGACTTAAAATATATTAACATGATTCAGAACTCATCATGTATAGAATTTTGTGTAGTACAAATTAAACATATGAAAAAATAAAACTTATAATGCCTTGGTAAAATAAATCATGCTTGTGTATGATAATCTTTTTAAATAGTAAATTTGTTTTCATTGTACAATATAATCACTTGTAGTGCATAGGTGACTGAATTCTTATTTTCACTTTGGACCTTTAAGTTATCTTCAGAGGATTTATAAGATATAATAGATATAGCGTTAGTAACTAAAATATTTTGATACTTTTTATTGGTATGAAAATAATATCTATAAATATTTTTACCCTATCGTGTGCATTAATTTTTAGACCTCCGGGTAATATCTACATGTATATCATTATTTAGGTTACTTTGGTCTGCATGTGGTGGAATAATGAGTTCAAGCTTTGATGGCACAGATGTCGGAGTATTTGTTGCACATGAGGGTTATGTTGGAAAAATACATTTTCACAAGGTGTGCTTTAAAATATCTTGCAAACAAGGTAGACTTTTGATAGCGTCCTTATTGATAATCATTACCCAAGTACTCCAACATCATTTAAACTTTTGTCTACTGATGGTTTATTGTTGATTTTTTTCCATTTCATTTGACAAAATCGTGAAATTTGATGAACCAGTCAATCTAATTATTATTTGGACATTAAATGATTTTTTAAACGAATAGAACAGAATAAGATATGTTTTTTTTTTTTTTTTTTTTTTTTTTTTTTTTTTTTGTTGATTGAAATTATTTTGCTATTCATATTCAACAGCGTCTGCTGATGTGGATAGTTCAAAAGAAAGATAATAGTAGAGAACTCTGTTGGCTCAAGTATGGCATAACGAATAATATGTCATGTGTGGAGATACCAGGAATATCGGATATATTCTACTATGACGAATTTCAAAAAGAGAGTGACAAAGGTACAAAAAGCATAATTTTTGAATTCATGATGCAAGGTAATTTTAACCCAAATTGTTAATCATATATCTCATATAACTCTATATATGAGGAAAATCTTTTTTTTTTTTTTAGATCACTGTTTTTTCGAGAATGGCGGATGCCAACATTTTTGTCTTGAATCAAAAGGAGTTTGTGCTTGCAAGCCGGGATATAGCTTAATATCAGACAAAATCTCCTGCCTCGAAGGTGTATGACAAAAATTAAAGCTTTCATACCAATGACCAAATCAAGAAATATTCCAATGAGAAATATACCCTTTGCATAATATCTTCAAACTTTAATTTTATGATATAGTTTTGGCATGAGCATAACTGAAGGAAGATAATTTGTCAGAATGTGCATATTGTGCATTTAAATTAATGCAATATACGATACAGATTATAACAAAAGTTGTTTCATTTTTATTAGGTCAAATTCACAATACTTCAATCATACTACTTGATAATATAATGCAGAGTTTATATGTTGTGGATGAGGAAACACTTGAACTTCTGACAGTTTTTGATACAGAAAAATTTGTGGAAGCAATTGACTTTGATCCAACCATTAGCAGTTATTACATCGGGTATAAAGAAAAAATTGTCATAGTGAAGACAAATCGTGAAACTTCCACAGTTTTCCTTTCTGGTAAGGTTTTATAATAATTTGCAGAGATAACAATCTGTAATTTAAATCCAAAAGGTTTATTGAGGCAAAGCAAACGTTTTTTTCTAATATCTTTATTGTTCTTTGGAATATAGTCTTTCGTATGTTCTAAAATTTTCTTAATATGCAGATGCTTCAAAATTTAACACAATTTTTTCTGAGGCATGCTATATAGTGGGTTTGTTCAAATCCGATGTCGAATTCCTTTTCAGCCGTTCGTCTGTCCGTTTCATATATAACACATTTTTGTTACAGTTTTTTTTTCAGCAACTACTCATTAGTAATCTGATGTCAACTTCCTTTTTATCTGTTCGTCTGTTATTCCATACATAACAGCAATTTTTGTCGCAGTTTTCTCAGCAACTACTCATTACAGATGATTGAATTTTAGAAAATAATTTGTTAAGGCATGCTAGATGGTAAGATTATTTTTATCTTACTGAAACAAATGGAGATAAAGAAAAGTATTCAAGATCAAAAGTCCATGAAACAATACAAAACAGGGGTAAAGCAAACAAAGACCTTCAAAACATTAGAGGTGGGATCAGGTGCCATTAAAGAGTGAGCATCCCTTGCTGATCGGTCACACCCGCTGTATGTTCCTTGTCATGATTTGGAAATAACTGAAAAAACCGTCGACACTTCAGTGTATAAATAATGGACAAAACAATGGTATAAAAAAAGTATGTCGGCTTTTGACGCAATGATAATTTAAATTTGGTTGCTATATAAGGTCATTGTATCGACCAAAGAACTTACGAAATGATGGATTTAAGTGAGATTGGTGATATTCTTGTTTCATGTTCAGCAACTTGTATGTCAATAATTTTCCGCGTTTTGGAAATTGTTCATACGTAGAGCATGCTCTAGCGTATCGTATCAACTTATAATTAGATATATAAACTCCGTATTCAGATGATGAAGGTATATTGCTGCATAAGTAGAAGAAATTGACAATGAAAAGTCAAGTTAATCTCCTATTTGTCTGTGCAGCTGCCCGTAATTAACGGAACCTGTAGATAATGACATGGCTTTGTATATTCATATGAGAGCGTCGTATTACTCTTCCTATTGGCTCACATACTTCCTGTTTTATTAAAGGATGCATCAGATAGGTAACGAAAAGGCCACTGAAATGTGTCTGTAATTCAGTCTAGTATATGATACCTGAAGAATATCAAGGGAATTGATCTTTTTAATAACCTTTCAGTGACCATTCATTTGGCGTTCAAGTAAAATTCCGTTGACCTAATGGTGTACTTTTTTTATCTTATAGATATCTTGTCATCGTTTCCTCAACTTGTTTTTCCATTATTTGCTTTGTATATTCCATTCACAAATATTTGTTTTTAGGGTATCATTTATTTCATTTACTTTTAAAAAGGGTATGTGTTTCAAAGTGATTTAATCTTATTTTTTCTATCGACAAAATTACAGAAATTAGTTCATATAAAGTATCAAATGGATTTGTAGGACTTATCTTCAGCTTAATAATAAAGAAAACATAAATAAATGCTTCTTGTATGAAATTTTCATAAATTATGCATATTTTACGTGCTAGTGCAAATCTGTCAAAATTCTTTTCAATGTTGTTAAAGGTACTTAGACACAAATTTGAAGTCAATATTTTCTCTTTAATATTACGACTTAAATATTTTAATAGCATTTTAAACAAAAATTAATTAAAAATTTAATTTCATTTAAAAGTTATTAAAACTTCAAATTTTTTGGCGGGTTTGATTGACACATCCTTGCACTTTCACAAATTCTAACCTTATTCTTAATCCTAATGAAAAGTGGCAATTTTGATGTGTATTAATGAGAAATATTAAAATCAAGAAAAATAATTTTATTCAGAGTAGAAATTTTAAAAAGCAAAACACCTTCACAGGTATCGTCATTCCGAACTGAGAGTTGTGTACAGAGTTTAGCAAATCGAGCTCATTCGTGTTATGTACACAGTTTTTGTAAACAGGGCTCGAGTTCTGTTATTGTTTATGTTTAGAATTCACCGGGTGCGTTCAATCGTCACAGTCTGCTTACCACAACTGCACGGACTGACAATATATAGTGTGTTTTTTTTTGCTTTCGAACATGTCTACTCTGAATTTTCTGGATTGTAGTATTAATATTTTTCATTTATACGAAACGGGATTGCCACTTTTCCTAAGGATTAAGAATAAAATTAAAATTTGTGATAGTGCAAGGATATGTCAATCAAACCCGCCAAAAAATTTAGATTTTAATATCTTTTATATGAAATAAGATTTTTAATTAATTTTTGTGTGAAATGCTATTAAAATATATAAGTCGTAATATTATAGAGAAAATAATAACTTCAAATCTGTGTCCAAGTACCTTTAAACTTGAAACTGAAATTCTTTTGGTAATTCAATCATTCCTTACTATTGGACTTATACGAGAAGCACTGATTTTTACAGTTGAATGTTTACTTGGACATTTAAACATTCACGTCTACGGAGGTACAGAATTGATAATAGAAAAGAAAACCTTTCTATTGGTCGTTTTCTTCAATGACAACTTAACCCTGCTTTAAAGTAGTCCGTTCTTTTCGTTTAATTAAATGTTCAGCTGAATTATTGTATCGTCAAAGAGCTTCCATACACTGTCCAAGTGTAAGAGTAATTCCTTAACCGTAAAAGTCAGGGCTTCTCGTAAAAGCCCATTAAAGTGACATTATATTATATTTTATCCATTAAAAATATCTGAGCGACTAATCTCGCTGGAGTTGGCATCAATTTGAAATGGTTTTGATATATTTTATATTTACTATTTATAAAGAAAGCGATGCTTTTTAGATTTTAATCTGGAACACATGTGCGTGGGTTTCTCAGTAATTATATTCACTTCAAGAAAAAACGACTCAAGCTCACTTCTCCAATACAATATGACGTCAAAAATGGTACACGCGATAGCTGATGATCTGAAATTCCCAGGTGATATACTATGCGACACAAACAGTGGGTAAGTAAAATATAGTTACATTCGTGACAAATTGTGTTGTAATAAAAATGTCACAGCTTTCTTTTTAATCGAAGTACCCATATTAAAATTGCCGTGAATTTACGGGCAGTTATTTTTATAGATTAAAAGAATACAATCCTAGAATATGTATTTTGTAATAAATGACATGTTACAATCATTACAATGCCCATCAAAGTCTTTAAAAAATTATTGATTTCCTTTACATTTATAAAGCATAGGACTTTAAATGAAAATATGAAATATGAAAAGAGTAATTTAATAAGCTTATTAATTTTGATTGTTTTTGATTCAGAATTTTACTCATATCCGAGAAAAGGGAGGAGTATTCGATAAGAAACGTCTCTTTGTTTGACAAAATAACCACTAGGATAAAGATTAGAAAATATGGAAGTTGTAGACTGGCTGCATACCCTGGAGGTTAGTATAACTGATGCATAAAAGAATACTTGTATATTATTTTGGAAGCTCGTTAAAATTATCCAATCTAAATTGATAGATTGGGCTAAATCACCAAGGTTTAAAAATCAATTTTGTAGTGATAAAAAATATTCACAAATAAACCTTAATTTTACCGAGTTATGGGTTTACTTATTGTATCACTGAAAGTTCATCACCATTGTTATCATATCATAATTTAATTTTGTTTGTATTCTAGTGTCTCATAGGTTGATTACCAATAAGGAACGCGAATTATTTCTTAATAACCTGGTTTGGTATGGGGACACACCCCCTTGACAACCAGCTGAATCATCTGCATCCATACAATCCCCTCATTTCCAGTCCTTAGAATTCATGGGAAATTCCAGATTTAATAAATGTACTTTTAACTTCAAACAGTAGCTCGATCTTACCTCGTGTACACAAACATCATGGCTGCTAGATCTGTATATCAGTTATTACCTCCCCTTGTTTCATATCACTTCCGTTACCAGAAATGTATGATTGAGCGGCAAATTTGAACTCATAAAATGCAATACAATTTTACACCCACAGTTGTTTAATTATTTTAAAATAAAATAATAAGGAATGACTCTAATTCTTGGCCAAATTAGCGAAAAAGATTATAAAAAAGCGTAAACTGACCCAAACCAGGTTATCATCGAATAATTTGGCCAAGAATTAGAGTCATTCCTTAAATAAATAAAGAAAGAAATTATTCAATTTCTTCTCTTTTTTATTTAATTTCAAATATTTTTTGCATATACACTATAAAAGCTCAAACAAACGGTATTAAATTGCAAGACATATATTCCGAAAAAAATATATAGAAATACAGTAATTTTACAGAAAATTGATTATTTAGAAAATCGTCTTTTGGATTTTCTTTGAAGTAAAAATTGTTAAGATCACATTTTAAAGAATTTTGTTTTAAATGTGTGATTTCCTTGCAAGATAACACTGGATTCTAATTCAATGCCATGCTATTGCCAGTGGTATCTCGGAAGCTAGATTTAAGGAAATTTCTCTCAAAAAAATCTTTTTGTATGTAAGAGATTACAAAGATCATTGTTCAACAAGACTGCTTCGAAGATGTACAAAACATTGAATGATATTGACATGTATAGCATATATTACATGAAAAAATTTCGATTTTGAAGATTACTTGAGAAATTAGTAATTAAAGATAAATTTAAGACATCGTTCCTGGCTGTTAGCGAATTTCTTGAATGAGGCTGTTGACATCCATGGAACACTAACTTATTTGCCATTACTCTGCCTAGTGATGGGGAATCGGAAAAAAAAAATCATAATCGATTTTCGTAAATAAACAGCTGGACATAATCGATTATAATAGAAATTTTGAACTTTAATGAAATTAATATAGAAAAGCTAAAACTTATTCAGATTTCCGTCAGACTTTAAAAAAAAACAATTTACTTACATAAAATATTCAAACATGTTACTTGAAATTTCTTTTTTAAAATGTGGAAAATAATATTTTGTTTACTTTAAACAATATAGGACAATTGAAACAGAATGGGAATTTTATTTTTTTATAAGGTCTATGTAATGGGTATTTTACTGATATTAGTCCCACCTTTCATTTAATACATGTATGTATTTAAATATTTCTTAAATTTAGTTTTAATTAGTTAAAATTTCAGTTTCAAAAGTAATTATCTAGAAGTTAGACTTGTATTTATGATTATAATTACATTTAAAGATTGACTAGACTAATTATGTTTTCCTTTACTTGCAATATTACCGTTTCCTGATATTAGTCTAACCCATATTTAATCATGGCGGTAAAAGTATCAACAAGACATGGGATCCTTCCATGTTTTCAACATTCATCACTACTTTTATGCTCTTTGCGCTTGGATTTGGTAAAATAAATTAAAGTATTACAATTTTATTTTTTGTTAGCGATGTCGACGACATTTATTTTATAATCGATTAGTAGCATCGAGAGCTTCTAACGACCGACAATCGTTCCATCACTAACTCTGCCTCAGTTTGAAAATTGATTATACTTGAATAACGAATGAATTGAAAATGCAATTACCATATGCAAGTTGTGGCCGAATATTTTTATATAGAAAATGAAAGTTAGTGATTAAAAAGTAAGAGTCATTTTGTTTGTCATTTGGACGTTGATTTATCACATTTTCTCGTGTTGGAACTTTTTCGACGGTCTTCTCAGCAACTCTCTCTTAAATTTTGTCCTATAATCGGACTCAGGGCCACTGAGTAGGGAGGGATCTTTTTCGTGCCAGCACCTATTGCGACACGGGACCTCGGTTTATACGGTCCAATCCGAATGACCGGTCTCCACGTACCACAATGAGATTCGAACCCGCGACGTAAGAATCGACTCGAAAGCAGACGCTTGAACCACTGCATGCGGAGTTAAATATCTCAGTTGATTCGATACGCAAGGAGCATGCTCTATGTATGAAAAATTTCTAAAACGAGGAAAATTATTGACGAACAGTGTAATGAAACAAGGATATCAGCAGTCTCGTTTAAAGTCATCATTTCGTACGTTCTATGGTCGATACTATAACCTTGTCAGCAAATACAATTCATCATTGAATCAAATGCTGACTAACGTTTTTTTTATTCTAATTGTTAGTCTATTATTTATACACTCCATTGACGATGGATAGTTCCGTTATATCCTGATTATGACAAGGAGAACACGGCGAGAGCGACTGGGTGGCAGGGGAAGTTCACTCCTTCCTGGCACATGATCCCACCTCTGATGTTTCGGAGGTCTGCGTTTGCTCTGCTCCTGTTTTGTATTATTTCATGGACTTTTGATCTTAAAAACTGTTCGTTACATCCATTTGTTTCCTGAAGAACGTCAGTCAACATTTGACTTTGTCTTTGTATCGACCATAAAACTTGCAAATACTCAGTAGTTGATTTTCAACAAGACTGTTAATATTTTTGTTTTTAAAACATGTTTGCTTATACCTACCTCGTTTTAGAATTGTTAGACATGTTATGCGTATCGAAAAAAGACATCTTAAAAAGTAAAGTTGTGGCAATTTGATATAATTTCAGTTTTCATACAGCGTGATTAATATTAAAATTGAAAATATATAAAATAAAATAGAAAATATAAAAAATTTCAAATTTGTTCAAATGAATAATTTTAAAACAGTTAGAATTCAGGTATTCATTCATTGATAAAAAAATAATTTGAAATCATTTATTCAAAACAATGAAATTTGCCAATAATAACAAATTTTAATTGCACATTAGATATATTAAATTTTGTTTCCAGATTCTGTATTTTACTGTTCCGATATTGATTCGAACACAATATATGATGTCACTTCTGCAGGGAAGATAGGTTACTTCTATAGTAAATCGAAACATGTGATAGTCGACATTGATGTAGACAAGCTATTTCTGTATGGTATACTTACAGATCAAAGGTATTGTTTTCTTTTTTCCTGTCCTTTCCGTATGTTTCTGATCAAGTAAAACAAAAATTACATATGTATATATGATGGTTTTAGATATGCAACTTTTAAATATTTTATAGTGTTGTGTAAGAATGTTTCAAATTAACGACTACTTTTAGGTCTATTCTGAAATTAGATCGCAATGGTGCAAGTTCAGTAACTTTGATAGAAATTTCACCTTTGTATGGTCGGCTTTCGTTGATTTTGGTGCAAAAGGATGGATGGACAACTGAGAGTAAAAGCGGTAATAGAAACAAAGGTAAAACTATATAATAATAATAATAATAATAATATAATGATAATATATATATATATATATATATATATATATATATATATATATATATATATATATATATATATATATATATATATATATAATGTTTCTTTTGAACTCTTTCAACTCAAAAATAACAACGTTTGCTTGCAATAGTATAAATTCTATGATATATTTACTGTTCTATTTCAGAGGATAATGTTCAAAACATCACTTTACTCTTTATACTCACTGTCTTTACTGTTGTCGTCTGTGGGGTCGGTGGTTATTTCACAATTGTTTTTATCAAGAAACGAAAACAACGACATCAATTGATCAGGTTTGTAAACTAAGCGGTAGAAAAAATTGTATTTTACTTGCACAAACTAAGTAATGCAATGATCTACCTATTCTATTTACGGTATTTAGTGAAAGACCTCCCCTTAAGTACATCACAATATCTTAAATTCTTTTAAGAGCAAATATCTTCCAATTGTACATAAAATAATCCAACTGATACTACATGTAGTTCAACTCTCAACAGAATTCCAAAGGTTTAAATGTCAATATTAATAAAATTAATTTCTTTAAGGACATTTGAACTATGAATGTCTGATTAAGATAAAAATATCACCCACAGTTGTGTTAACAAGTAATTGGTTCTGTCCATATTTTATACTTGGTAGTGTATGCGTTTTTTGCATATAGGCCTTAGAATTTAAGCGCAGAAGGTTCAATGAAATGTTTTTTTGTATAAAACACTTGAAAAGTTTTATAGATATTGCATGTAGCTGAGTGTAACAACCATCCTTCGAAAACTATTGTCAACCGAGGCATAGCAATAAATATCAATTGTTTTTTGTTTGTTTAGGGGAGGGTCCATTGTTACTCTCAACTACATGCAATATCTATATAATGTAAGAAGGCTATTACTACGAGTAACATGTAAAAATAAAACTATGCTAGGATAAATATCATACTCAACTCATACTTTGAAAATTAGTATGCTGCATTTCAGATTGTTTTATTTTTATTGCTAAAAAATCTTAATTTTTAATTCAAATTATTAGTTATTTGTTTGAGAGATAACTGTAATTACCGTCTCATTTCGTATGCCTTATATTGATATGAAACATATGGAGATAACAAACAGTATTCAAGATCAAATCAAGATCATGGATTTTATTGATATCTAAAATCTTTTCAGTCCTCCACAGGAATTGACTGAAAATGATCCCTATGTGTATCGTGAGATTTCAGAGGCAACTTTTACAAGAATAAGTATCAACACTTCTACAAAAGAGGTTATTCCAAGATTATATGGACAAGGTGAAGCAAATAATTCAGTCCCCTCGGAAATTGGACTTCAAAGGGGTACAGAATTAAAATCAAGTTTCTCCTATGCCTATACTACAAACGAGCGTGGGTTGTTAAATGTTTCAAGAACAGTGAGTATAAGGGCGCCGGTGGATGATGACTGAAGATAACTATGTTAAAATGATCATTTCTCCAAAATCATAAATATAAATCATTAATGTTTGTAAAAATAAATAAATGCTTGTGATTTTTATACAAGAAATTCACATTTTTATTCTATAATTCTTCCTTTGTTATCATGTGCAAATTTTTTCAACTATTTTATATTTCAACATTTTTAGAAACGAATGCATTTTCAATTTGTCGAAACCAAGATTTGTGCAATATTTTCAAATAAACATTTTTTATATTCAAATGTACATTTGCTTTTCTACATGGCATCAGGGGAATGAAAAACATTCATGAGCGATTATAGAACCATTATCGAGCAAATGAGTTGAAAGCAGAT